GGAAAACGGAAAATAATCGAAAATTAATAATGGAAAAGCCAGATATTGTTTAGTTAAGAATTAATTTTTTGCGAAGTATGAAAAAATTTCGAGAAAAAAAGCGACCCATAATTTTCATGGACAAAACCTATATTCATTCCTCGCATACCCACATAAAAACCTGGAATGACAACACTAGTGAAGATTTACATAAACCAGTATCAAAAGGGCAAAGACTAATAATGGTGAATGCGGGCAGTGGAAAATGCTTATTTGAAATTTAGATCAGGTGATTATCATAATGAGATGAACTTCACGAATTATATAAAATTACTACAGGAGATGTTTATTCCTAATTTACCAACATAGAGTGTCTTAGTGAAAGACAATGCTCCCTATCACAATGTGCAGGTAAATAAGTCTCCTAATTTATGTAATAGAAAGATCGAAATGATGGAATGGCTAAGGCAACGAAATATATCTTTTACAGAAGATAGGTTGAAAATTGATTTGAATGGTCTAATTAAAATCCATAAACCGCGATATAAAATGTATAAAATTCATGAAATTATGAGCGTCCACGGGCATATTGTTCTGATGCTTTCTCCATACCACCCTGACTTAAATCCTATAGAGTTAGTGTGGGAGTCTTTAAAGCCATATGTTGTACAAAGAAATGTAGATTTTAGCTCAAAGACCGTAGAAAGATTATGCGATGAATTTTTCAGTACATTTTCTGAAACTGACTGGAAAAAACGATGTGAGCATGAAAGTTTTGAACAGTTTTTCATGGAAAAGGAACCAACATCAGATTTCATGGTAGATGGCATGATAATCAACTTGCAAGAAGATAGTGACACTGAACCAGATTACATCAGTTCAGACCTTAGCGACGATTTATCCTCCGAAGATCAAGATAAAATATATTTTCATTTAAATTTTTCGTTTTTTGCCTTTTATAAGTTTTATCTTTGTATTGTTTTATTTGAAATTGTTACGTTCTTAGAAATTTCTCGCCGTATTTTGCGTTTGATTTGAGTATTAAAAATATAACCCATTATGTGATTGGGCAATCCAACAACATTAAGTTGCCAATACCAATGACATCAGTCCTAAATGGTTCAGGTGTCTATAATGGTTGTAAAATGTTCAACCATTTGCCAAATAATGTGATAGAAGTAAAGTCTTCACAATGCTTCAGGAAGGCTGTGAAAGGTATTTTAAGTGATGGACCATACTATAGCTAATATAAAAGAATGTTATTTTAACGAATTGAAGAATCAACTGCCTTGAACAAATTTATTTTTAACAATATTTCACTATCACAAATAATTTATTTACAACACTTATACAACTAACGCCTAATTTAACCTTCACAGTTCGAATTCTTTATTGGAACACACGATTCACTTTCTAGATACAGACTGCTATCTCGGGACGGGAAGCTGGCTTATATATTGGCAACGACCGTGCTAAATTTCTCTAGTTGTTTAGGTAGTGGCCTAGACTGTTCGCGGCGGCTTGTCGCGTTCATTTCTTTCGCGATGAGTCATGTGTTTATTTGCTGGCTGAGATATCGGTCAGGGCCGGCTTCAGATTCGTTACATTGCCCCCTTCTTGAAGACGTTTCGCCTCGAAATGTCATCCTTGGCGTGTCTCGATACCTGCAGGGCTCCCCCATATCTGCATTGTGAAGTTCGAAGAAAGTAACACTCCACAGTCTTCATGCTCGGTCGTGGAAGATGGTTATCGCACACCAAAATCTTGATGCCGGTGGATCTGAAGATCGTTTCCAACATGCTTCTCACAATTCTCCAGTCCAGTCTGTCTAGCCCAGAGGCTAATTTTGGGATTGCCAAGTCCACGAGATTCTAGTCGAGCATCGTGTCCCTCAGTCTGGTAAGACTCCTTCAGACATATTCATATGACGGTTTGTTTCGAGAATGCTTTTTGGTCACCAAGTAGACCCTTCTTCAACTGTAGCACTCGTCCGACTTCAGGATTCTGTTCTCGTAATGTTTGGAGCTGACCGAATTTCTTCTTGAATACCACAGCGATACCCTTGAACATTTGGAGATCCTCCGCCACGCAGTGAGCTAGTGCCTAATCAACTGGAACCTTGAAAAGGTCTCGTGGCTCTTCTCGAGTTACCCCATGTACGACCTTCTGTCCGTTCGAGTATAAGGACATGAATTTCTGGAACGTCATTTCATCCTCTGGTGGACTGAGGGCGCGAACTTGATCGTGATTGCCAGCATATGGAGCCAATCTATTAAAATAGACGACCCTAGGCTTTCCTCGAGGTGGCTTATGGATTCGGTAGACGAGGTCATTATCTTTTTCATGATTCTGTACGGACCCTCCCACGAGTTCCGCAACTTCGGTGATAAACCACGCGTCGCTTAGGATTGTACAGCCAAACTAGGTCACTGATTTCGAATCCTCCAGCATTCGCCTTGATGTAATAGGCCTTCTTCATCCTATCGCTGGCACTCCGGATGTTCAGACGAACTCGTTCATGGATGTCGTCCATTCTCTGCCGAAGCTTGCTGACATAGTCTTCTCCCGTAGTGTCTTGTTCTGGCGGCGTCCAAAATTTCAGGTCGCGAGGAAGCCGCAGCTCTTGGCTCTCGCCGAACGATAAGCCAGCAGGAACAGGTGGAGGTATTGGTCCCAGTCTCTTTGATGGTCAGAGACTACCTTGGACAAGTGGTGGTTCATGGTCTCATTCATTCGTTTCACCATTTCATCGGACTGTAGATGTAAGGCTGTGGTTCTGGTCTTTCGAATGTCCAACAGTTTACATATTTCTTGGAACAGGTTGGACTCAAAATTTCTGCCCTGGTCCGAATGCAGATCCAATAGGACACCGAATCGACATATCCATTCCTTTACCAGGACGTCAGCAGCGGTGATGGCTTCCTGGTTGGGCAGGGCATGGCTTGTGCCTACTTGCTGAAGTAGTCCATGGCTACTAGGATGTATTTGTTCCCATGTTCGGACTCTGGAAACGGGCCGGCGGTATCGATGGCGATTTTCAAAAGGACTACCCATGTTATACTGGCGCATTGGAGCTTTCGGTCGTATCCTAGGTCCGTCACTGGCAGCGCATACAGCACACTTTCTGCACCAGTCCTTGACGTCGGCTTGACAATTAACCCAGTAAAACCGTTGTCTTACTTTCTGGAGGGTCTTCGTTACTGCCAGATGTCCTCCAGTGACTCCATTATGGATTTCTTTGAGCACCTCTCGTCGTCTGCTCCTGGGTACCACTGTCTGGCGCCTTTCTTCTCCACCATCTTCAGACTCCAACACCCGCTTCAGAACCCCGTTTTC